AGTTTGAATAGTAGGCTCCAAATTTTCTATTTGATAAGCAATTCTAATCAAACTGAAAAAAATCAAAAAGAAAAGAAAAGGAAAAACATAAAACAAAACAAATAGGCAAATTTCATCAAATCCATTTCAAATATTTACCTTCTGTTGTCTTTGAAAAATTTAATCTTAGAGAATTCATATTGATAATTTGAAAACTGAAAGTAAGACATAAATGTTACCTTTGAAAATTTATTTCATGAGCATCAAGTATGGATATTAGAGTATGCAAGAAAAAAAAATCCAATAGTAGTAAAGAACTATTTGCATGATCTAACAACGTTGCTGCAGGTATTTTGCCAAACAATATTCACGTTCTAAGAACTATAGCAAAATAATGGGCATAAATTAGATTTATCACAAAAGAAGATTAATACCGTAGTGGGATCTCAACTTCAGTTTCTCCTGGCCCGCGAGACCAGGAGAAGAGCAATTCTCCTCAATCATCCTGGTAATCATCTTTTCAGTTCTTCGCACTTGTTCTCATTCAGGCTGCAACTTCTCCTCGAGTTTCAAGTTTTGTAGTTCCATCTCGTCGAGATTTTTCTACTCAATTTTCATCTTCTCTTCACACTGATGGAAAGAGTGATTGATTAGTTCTCGAATGGATAACTCTTGAGCAGTTGCAAAAATACAGTGCATTTCAGTTGAAAAACAGAGATTTGATTGTTCAAAATAAAAAAAATATTAATGACGAAGACTACCAAATATACTTCATAGGAGAGCCAACTCTAAGAAATACAATCTATACATTTACTTTCACACCTTATTTTCATTTTGAAAACAATGGTCCTTCAACAAAATTCTAACATAATAATTGAAGATTGGAACATGATAAATGAGAGAGACAGAAAATTACTTTACCCGAAATTAAATTTCTTCGAAGATCAAGGCTTCCATAGCCCATCACCAGGGGTTGTACATCAACACCGATACTAAAGGTATTCGATAAAGCATGGCATCAAACACTTGCAATCAAAATAACCCATGTCATATAGTTAATGGTCGACATTCAACGTGAAACTTAATCTTAAAAAAAAACTTGGAATAAAATCTACTATTAACGAAACATGTATTCATACGATTGATAACTTAAATAATGATAATTAACTTAAAAAATATATAACCTGAGTAATTAAAATACCATCTCCTCGTATATTAAAGTTTTTTGCTAGAACTTCGGACAGTATTGCTGAAAAAATAACAGCAAACATTGAAGATAAATTATGTGAAAAAATAATTGCTATGGAATTTAAAATTATTTGGAAAATATATATATGAATAAACATTTTCTTGACATTAACACGAATGAGATATATAACTGAAATGGCTCACTCATTTTCAAGTTTAGTTTAAACACATTGGCCATTGCTGATTGTAAACTTCATCGCAATATGAAGAAGAAAAAAAATGAGTTTATCCACTACGAATAGCAAACACCCGCTAATATTGATGTATATATAACACCATGACGAAAATCAGGAAAGTCGAGATCAAAGAAATCAAAACTCCATGCAAAGTCTTGAAGCAAAACTATCTATGGGAGATAGTCTTTTTTGGGGGCAAAATTAAGTCGAATAAAATAATGCAGAAGATGGTAAGAAAACTATTAATGAATTGGGGTAATAAAATGAGAGCAAAAACGTAGGAAGAATGAGGAATGACCGAGTTGGATGATAGTGGGTGGTTTATTTGTGGGAAGTTAATTTGAGAGTGGTGGGTTACGTTATTGTGGGAAGTTTTTGTTTTCTGCCTATCAATCTTGAAATTTAGAAAAACCACCCAAAAATATTTCAATAAAAAGGAAAAAAATGTAAATAAAACTGTCTAACTAAAAATCTAATTAAAAAAAAAATATCTAAACAGTAATTGATAAAATTGCCCTTATGTTTAGGTTTAGGGTTATAGGTCAAAATATCTTCCTTTTATATATAAGATGAATGTGGTTAGTGATGTAGGTTCGATTAACATTTAGGGTCCATTTGATATACACCCTTAATATGGAAAATATATAGGGATAGGTCCACCCCTAAAATTCTTCCTTTGAGATAACCCCCTGGAGAGGCAAAAGTACTATTGTGCCCTTATATCCCATTTTTGCCCAACTACATTCAGTATTTTTGCTAACTGTATTCAACATTATGGTCAAATGCAATTAGCATTTAGACCTGCATTTATCATATTATCAGATTTTTTAATAAAAAATTAAAAATTATTTTTTTATTATTATTTTTTTATATATACCTCTGTTGTATTTTTAATTTTTTAATTTTTTTAATTTTTTAAAATTGTTTAATTTTTTGTAATTTTTTAATTTTTTTAAATTTTAATTTTTTATTTTTTTAATTTTTATTTTGTTTCAATTTTTTGATAAATTTACGGTATTGAAATTGACTACACATGACTATTGTATATATATTACATATGATTATATAAAAGAAACTTCATCTACACCAAAAACAAAAATTCACAATTTAAATCTTGATATTATAAATTAATTAATACCCAACAAAAAATTGGAAAAACACAATCATCAATATCACTATACATCAGAAAAAACACATAACTTATATAACAATATATTACTACGAGTTACTACACGTGACTACATATGACTACATGTATATGACTACACGTGACTATATATGACTACACGTGACTATATATAACAATATATGACTACAGGTGACTATATATGACTACACGTGACTATATATGACTACATGTATATGACTACACGTGACTTTATATGACTACACGTGACTATATATAACTATATGTATATGACCACGTGTGACTATATATGACTTGATAACGCAAATCTCTCCTACACTGAAACAAGTACAAGTACAGCCAAGTTACGATCGGGAAAAACATTCTGCAATTGCATTACCCGTGCTCTTATTGGAAAAAAAAAACCATAAATCAAAAATCATTAGAAACTTGGTAAAAAAATTTATTTAAACGAAACTAGAATTCACACGAGCCTATGGCAAAAAACTATTAAACCTTTCCATAAAAAGAAATGCAAGAAGGAGGGCTCAAGCTTGTATACTCATTTTACCTGCTTCTTTCTCTCTCCGTAACACGGATTTTTCATCATCCTGAATTTCATATGTCAAAGACACTGTGTATAACATATAAATTTGAACACTGTCTCACCGAGCACAAATATTTTTCGTCGGCTCGATTAGCCAAAAAGATAGAACACATAAGAGAAATCACGTCCACTTAATCCTCAAATTTCAAACCATCGATTCAAAATATAGATCAAAATACACAATAATATATGCATATGTTCTTCAAAAAAATTACAAATCATCATCATCATCACTCTACATTAAAAAAAAAACCACATAATCCAGACATGACTATATGTTACTATATATGACTAATACATGACTATATGTTACTATATATGACTATAGTAACATTACTATATATGACTATAGTCATCCATAGTGTCTTATAGTCTGAATGAATTTCACTTCATAGCACAATTTTCCCCATAATTCCTTACTGTATAGAAGTAGCAAAAACAACAATCCATGTGACAAAAAAATACGAGTTAGAGAAAAGGAACATAAAAATGGAAAATGCAATTATGCACATTTGAGAGTTGACTTTTAAGGACATAATAACCATTAGACACTTCGGCCAATAACAGCCAATAATAGAGAAAACCACATCATTTGCATCTTCAAACTCCAAACCTACATTGAGTGTCTCTATTTTGTTTGGAAGCAAAGAAACACAATAAGATCGGACTTCTGATTCCCACATTACACTTAAAAATAGTATTCTCAACAAAATAAAAAATAAAATCCTAGATCTAGTGTATTTCACCAACAATCAACCATAAATAAACATGTATGATGCTTATTATATACACACATACACACGTTTTAATGCGTGTAATATGTAAATAGAGAAGAACTGTAAGAGAGTGTACCAGAGAAGGGTGATTTAAGATCACTGAAATCGATGTCGAGAATAAAAAAAAAGTATTTGAAATCTGATCAATAGTTTCTCAGTAGCGGCGGCGATTGGAGGGGTCCAAGGCGAATGGATCCGTCGGAGAAGAACGGATCTATGAGGTTTGAACATGTCCGACGCCATTGATACGACACCGTACTTCATCTTCTCCGTCGAAATCGAAGAGCGGCGCTTGCGAAATCATGCGGATTTGCGAAGGGTGGATCGGCAGCGACGACGGCGACTTTTCCTTCTCTAAGATGAGATGGTTTGGATTTTTTTTTAAAATTGTGTGAAGATGGTTGCGGCGGCGACGACATGTATGGAGCTGGGCGGCAGTTGTGGACACGGGGTCGGATTCATAAGGGGGGGGGGGGGGGGGGGGTTTTTTCCCACCAAATAAAAGCTTTATGGT